TTCCTCTGCCTCCATAGGGAGACAATGGCCAGGGCACAGATGGGCTTGAAGTCTTTCGTGAGTTGAATCACGGGCCAGCTCGGCACGGCCGAACCATTATTTGCCTGTCTTGTACGTGTTTCCTGACACTGCCCACTGGGCGGCATTGTCGTGGCCTGAAAAAGTTATGTAAAGGTGCTGCTAAGGCACGTGCAGACCGTGCGGCGTAGGTTTAGAAGCTGTTGAATGCCGAGCGCGAGAAGCACCCCACGTCTGGTGAACTCCTAGAGCCTGTGCCTGCCGTGCCGAGGCAGGGCGACGCCGCCACTGCTGCCGCTTCTCTAACGGATGGGGCTGGGGCGGTGGACTGCTCGGGGAAGGGATCCGACTCTTCTGATTGATGGGGATGTCATGCCCATCTTCCGTTTGATGTAGTTGCCGCGGAGGCTTGCCGCCGTGGTTTGGTCGCCCTGGCGGCATGCAGTGCCGCTCTGGCCCTGCTTTTGCGGCATGGTTGGCTTCCCTGCCGATCGCTCCGCCCTCACTCTGTCATCAGCGACGCGCAAGTCACTGACACGCGCTTCCGCTGTGGAATGAAATCTCGCCTTGATTCTTTAGGCTTACGCCACACCGCCGAACCCTTGTTTTTTGTTTTTTTGGAGGCAATCTTGGACGTCTTGGGGGCGTCATGGCCCGATTTTATCCCCCGCATTCCTATCGTCGTCGTCTTTGCTCCTCCTCCCAGTAGTCGGCCCGTCCCGCCACCGTGCCTGAGTTGTGGTTCAGAGGCCTCTCAGATTCAGGAGAAAGTCCAGATTCGGTGCGCGAGGTGCAAGAATTTCTTGAAGACGGAGGCGGAAGTGGCGGCGAACCAGTACGACTCGAAAGATGCGGGGGAGAGGCTTTGCAGGGCGTGCGCCCGCAACGAGAAGGGTGGGCGGAACGAGAAGGCGGACGCAGAGAATCGCAAGCGGAAAGCAGAGGCGGACGCGAAGCCGCTGACGTGCGCGGCGTGCAAAGGCGCGTTCTCGGACACGAAACATTTGAAGCAGAAGCAAGTGGAACATCATCGAGCGGCGAAAGGAGCTAAACTTGTGTACAGAAGCTGCGAGGAACTCGGGTTCACAGCGCGCAGTTGCCAGGCTTATCAGTGCAGCGGCGCGCGCAAGAGAGGACTGCCAAAGTCGGCGTTCCCCGACCCTCACAATGTCCCGCGCGACGCAAAGAAGGGCACCCTAAAGTGCAAGACGTGCAAATGATGCCCAATCGGTTGCGCGTACTGGGCAGAAATGGGAGGACGGGAAGAGGAGGATGGGGGGTGAGGCGGAAAATGGGGGGGAGAAGCATCGGTGAGGATGAGCTGAAGCGGGGCAGGAAGAGGAGGAGGGGAACGAGGAGGAAGTGTAGGAGGAGGAGGAGGAAGAGGAGGAGGAGGACGGGGACACTGAGATGGGGCTCCGGGTTATGGGGTTGGGCGCGACTCGAAAAACCGGTGCGTTCAGGGATGTCCGTTGGGATCTTGCGGGGGGGCTTCTTGCGGGCCTCTTGGAGCAGTTTCGAAGGCTCTTGGGGGCCGTTTTGGGACCTCTTTGTGGTTTCTTGGGCGCCTCTTGGAACGTCTTGGGGGCCTCTTGGGGGGTTATTGGGGCCTCTTTGGGGCCTCTGCGGGCCTCCTGGGGGTTGGGGGTCTCTTGGGACGTAGGCTGGGTTTTCCGGTGCGTGGTCTCTCTCTGGAGCCCCTCTTGGGCCCGTCTCCGGGAGGTTCTTGGGCCGTCTTGGGCGGCTCTTGGGCCGTCTGGGGGCTCTCTTGGGCCGCCTTGGGCGGCTCTTGGGCCGTCTGGGGGCTCTCTTGGGCCGTCTTGGGGGCGTCGAGGAGGCCTCTTGTGCCGTCTTGGAGCAGTCTTGGGGGCTTCTTGGGCTGTCTTGGAGCGCCGGAAGGCCGAAAAGGCGAAAATGACGAAAACATCAAAAAAACAAATGAAAATCAACGATTTTGGCCTCTTGGGGCGCTCCTCGGGGGCCTCTGGGAGGTCTCTTGGGGCGTCTTGGAGGTCTCTTCGGGCGTCTTGGAGCCCTCGTGGGGCGTCTTGGAAGCCTCTTGGGGCCTCTTGGGCGCTTCTTAGGGCGTCTAGGCGGTCTCTTGGGGCGTCTGGGGGCCTCTTGGAACGTCTGGGAGGCCTCTTGGGGCCTTCTTGGCCCGTATTTGGGCCTTTTTGGGCCCGGAAGAGCGTCGTGAGTCGCTCGTAGTCGGCACCCCCCCCCCCCTCCAAATCGACCGGACCGGGTTCCCGGGGGAGGGGTTTGGGGAGGGGGAAGCATCTCACACGCCGATGACCCAGGGGTCGGCGATATATATATATATATATATATATTATAATAATATATATATATATATATATATATATATGTGCATATTCGCCAGATGGTTAGAGAGGGTTGGATACTCCTCCTGGTCATTTCTGCACAGGCGTGGGTGCTCGAATCCACCCAGCTGGCTGCCTGATGCCGACGAGTTGAGCCTGGTACCCCGTCGTTGCGGCGCCGCAACTCTCAGCATCTGCCTGGTGCTTGAGCAGCAGCATATCTCTCCGTACATATCTGAAGCGCCCCTCTCGCGGAGAGTTCTGGCGACCGTGGTGCCTCTTCTCCGATTCCGCTGCGCATGTTTGTTTCGCTTCCTGGGCCCTGCGCTCGAGATATTCTCGACCTGGAGCTGGCCACTGACGGAGGCGAAGTCGTTCTTTTCACTTGCCCTGCAGGTTTTCAGTCACCAGTGTGTCGGCAGGTTTCCCTGCGGGCTTGGTCTGTGTGTCGGCGTTCCGTTCATTATCGGTGCTGGCTTCGCTCTGCCGTGCTTTTGATTCGTCTGGGCAGAGCTTGAGACTCGTCACTTGATGTGGGAACGACGGGTTGCGGGTTAGCGCGCCCGGCCGAACTGCGCAAGAAAGCACTTCGCAGGCAGATCAACGTTTCTGTTCCATGGATGCCCAGCGCGGTGGAGCCTGGAACCCTTCGCAGCGGTTCTGCCACGGCGGTCGGGTTCATGGTTCTCGGAGGTGAAGTGGTCGTGTACCTTATTTTTGTTCGACACGTTGCATTTTGATTATAATGTGCATGTAGACCTTTCCTCCAATTGGAGAGCCCACGATGGCCCCGAGATGCACCCCACACGGCCTAATACGGAGTCCAGATAGCTCCAGATAGCTCCGAGGCGGCCAAGACGCCTCCAAGACGTCCCTTGGGAAAGCCCGAAGAGGCTAACATAATCGATAAATAATATGAACAAGCTTGTGGACGAGATAAGAGCTGGGTGCAGCGGCGCTGGTTCCCTCCCCCAACCCATGGTATCCAAGACCTCCCCTCAAGGTAGCGGCTGCAGCGCGCGCGGGGCGCCACGTTGAGCGTGGACTTACCCCGACAGGCGTTCCGAGCGGCCAGTAGTGAGCTGCGCACGTAAGACCGCGAGGTGAGGGAGCAGGGTTGGGGGGTGAGGGGTCCTTCGCTCGAAGACCTCCCAGGAGTTGCCTTTTAACCGGTGGAAGTTGAATAGATTGAAGTAAGGTTCTCAAGAGGGCATTGGACGGCCCCGTCGCCGTTGGCAGGTCGGAGCCATGTCGCCTACAATTTACTGCGTGTCTGGCGGTAGGCCTGCCTCTTGAAGCATTGGCAATCGCCCATGAGGATTTCAAGTCGAGGTGTGACTGGCGTCGACGTGTTCTGCAAACAAAAAAAAAATCGTGCCATTCCTATGGGAAAACGTATATTTTTCGCATGTTCGCATCTTGGGCTTTCACCGCGTCCAAGACGACCCCAGAGGCCTCCAAGACGGCCTAGGAGGCCTCCGGGAGCGCTCCAAGGCTGCGCACGAGTGGCTCAGGACGGCCCCAAGACGGCCCAAGAGAACCCCAAGACGACTTCGAGAGGGGTCCCAGAAGGAGAAAGCCACTCTCGAATTCCGAGCTTCCGGCCCAACATATCCCAGGAGGCGCCAAAACGCCGCCCAGAGGCGCCAAAAGGCTTCCAAAGTCAGCCCAAGACGTTCCGAGAGGCACCCCAAGAGAGGTCCAAGAAGCAAAAATGGTCCCATTCCTATATATAAACTCACATATATATATATATACATATGCACACATATATATATATATATATATATATATATATACACACACGCACATATAACGGCGCACCGGGTCTGGGGGCCCGGGGCCGCGACCACGACCACAAATGTGTGTGCCCAGGCTCTCGGGGCGCCCCTGAGGCCTTCAAAACGCCCCGGGAACGCGCCAAGAGAACCCGAAGACGCCCCAAGACGGACCCAAGACACCCAAAGGCCGCTCCAAGATACCCAAGATGGCCCCCAAGACACCTCCAAAGGCCTCGCAGACGCTTTAGGAAACTCCCGAAAGGCCCCCCAGGACGTCCCCAAGAGGCAAAATGGCCCCATTCCCTTCGCAAAGCGTACAGTTTTAGCATATGTATTGTTTTCGCTGTCGTACCGTTCTTGACGACATCAGAGGCCCCCAAGACCGCCCCAAGACGGCCCAAGAGGCGTCCCCGAGGGCCCCAAGACGGCCCAAAAGAGCTCCAGGACGGCCCGAGAGGCGCCCCAGACTGCCCAAACGGGGCCCCAAAGGCGCCCAAGAGAAGCCCAAGATTGGGAAATCCAACCGAAATTCTAGTTTTCCGCCAAAAGAGGCGCCCGGGAGGCCCCAAGAGGCCCCGAAGAAGCCCCAAGATGCCTCCAAGAGGCCACCCAGACGCCGCAAGAAGGCCCCACGAGGACCCCCGAGAGAGCCCTGAGAGCCAAAAGTTATGTCCCGTAGATGTTCGAAGGATTTTGGTCATCTCGCCTTCTCGGGTTCCTGACGCTCAAAAACAGCCCAAGAGGCCCCCAAGATCGACCCAAGGAAGCCCGTCCGTAGCCATTTTGGCTCAAGCCGCTCTGGCGCAAGCCGTTTTTGTTTGGGGGCAACCGCTCTGCAAGTTCGCCGGGTCCTCCCAGCATCTCTCGGCGCGACACCATGGCTCGGCGGGTGGTGCTCGCGGTTGCTGTCCTTCTCGGCTGCGGCATGCTGATGTCCGCTTTTGTGCCCTTCTCGCCGATGGCCATCCGCCCCGCGGATCAGCAGCCTGCAGCGCTGGGAACGGCGATGACGCCTGACGACAGGATTGTCCTGCCGAGTGGGTGTTGCATTCTCCACTGTGATTCCAATGTCGCAATAGCTGAAGGGCAGAACTGCAGCAGCAGCAACAATCAGTCACTGAACATGTTGTCTTACACGTTGCACGGTTCGAATGCTCACCGCGTTGCTGGATGGAGCATCAAAGAGTGGCTGAAGTTTATAGGCTCTCTCGGGGTGGGTGCCAAGTTTGTGTTCCAGGTGGGCTCTTTTGGTGCATTTTTGGACGAGGTGCTCCCGTTATTGAAAGGCATGGACCCGCATCAGGCGCAACAGTGGCAAGGAGTCACTGCAGAGGCCAGACGGTGCAACGTTGACAAATTGAAGGAAGCATATGTTGAGCAGCTATCAGCAGGCACACTTCGCATAATACATACTGCTGTTACAGATGTTTGTCATGCTTCCACATTAAAATTTGTCGTACCCAGCCCAGCTTTCTCGGGGGGCAACGAAAAGTTCAAATGGAAATTCGGAACCGGAACGATCAAAGATAGTGAGAACGGGCAGAAAATGCAGACGTGGGGCGAAGGCCAGTTGGAAGAGCTCGAGGTTCCATGTGGCACAACAGACTATGTTATGCGCTTCGGGAACGTCCCAGAATCACCAGAGTTTGTGCAGGTTGATGCCGAATCGCACGATGCGCATATTCTGACTGGGATAGATTTCACCAAGTTCAGTCCCAAACTGATTCGATGGGAAAGTCTTCCAAACATGGAGAAGAAAGACATTTTGCTGGACAAGCTATATAGCCATGGCTACGTCACCATAAAAACTGATGTCGGCGCAGATCCGTCCGCGGTTCGGCCAGATGTTTTGTTCGCAGCGGTTGGAATGACTGTTTAGAGCGTCGACCCTCTGGGTCTCTGAGTTCCCATTGCTCAGCAGTGGAATTGTTCGGCGTCTCAGTTTGTGAGCCTTGGCATGTCAGGCCGGCGCAGCGAATTAGACGCAGTTCTTTTTCCCAACCATCCTGTGGTGTTGGGTCCTCGTTTTGAAGAGACAGCGCCCTGCGTTCCTCTCCTCTCCTCTCCTCCTCCTCCTCCTCCTCCTCCTCCTCCTCCTCCTCCTCCTTATCCTCCTCCTCCTCCTTGTTTCTCCCTCCTTCCTCCTCGACCCCCGATCGCCCCGCCGTGGCGCGGTGAGCGCCCCCGCTGGCCTCGGGAAGTAATCTGTGTGCCGTTCGCGCCGCGGCGCGTCAGGCTGCGCTGCTGGCTCGCAGGTGACGTCCGCCTGCGGTCAGCCCAGTGAATATGATGCATCTCTTTTCCTCCCAGAGCTGGTCGCTCCACCTTGCGCGCACGTCCTTGGGCGATCGACCAGAGAGGTGCGCGCGAGGCGGTTGTGTCTCTGGCGCGAAACCCCGCCAGCGCAGCTTCTTTCTCTTCACCGCGGAGGTTTATTGAATCGCTTCGCTCATTCCGCCGGCCCGTGATATGGCATCGCTGGTTTTTGTCTGTGTGTTCGTTGCCCATGTTGCGCTCTTGGGGGCGGGTGTCGTTCGGACGCGTTGCGTGGGGAGTTTTGATGGTGAAGCAGTTCCCTGGGGGTCGTCTCTCGATGGGGCGAAATAGAGTCGTCGTCAAGATGCTTCTTTGGGGGGCCTCTTGGGGTCTGTTGAGAGGCCGTTCGGGGGCGCCTGGGAGACATGTTTGAAGCCTTCTGGGGCTTCTTTTGGGCCTCCTGGGAGTCTCCTGGGGCCTCTTGGCGACATCTTGGGGCCTCTTGGAGGCCTCTTGGGGCCTCTTTGGGACCGCGGAGGTTTATTTCATTCCGCCTTGCGTGCGCGCCCGTGGGCAATCGATCAGACAAGTGCGCGCCAGGCTGATGCGTCTCCGTCGGTAAAAAATCGACCCAAGGAAACCCGCGAAGCTCCCAAGGGGACGCCAGGACTACCCAACAGGGCCCCATAACTGTCCAGGAGGCGCCCAGCACGCCCAGGAGGACCCCAAAACGGCCCCACGAGGGACTCAAGAACGGAAGCCCGAACCGACCATTCGAGCTTTCTGCCCCAAGAAGCCCCGAAGGAACCCGGAAGAGGCCCACAAGACGCCACAAGAAGGCTCCAAAAGGACTCCCAACAGATCCCCGAGAACCCAAATTCGTTGATTTTCTATGCGTCTTTTGAAGGACTTCGCCCTTCTCGCCTTGTCGGCTTTCCCAATCTCCATGCCGGCTCAAGGGGTCACCAAGACCGCGCCGAAACAGCCCGAGAAGCCCCCAAGAGAACCCCAATACGGCCAGGAGGGCCCCAAGACGGCTTACGAGCCGCCCAACACGGCCCAGGAGGGCCCCAACACGGCCACAAGAGATACCCAATATGGGGGAGCCCGAACCGACATTTGGAGCCTTCCACTTCAAGAGGCCACCCAGGAGGGCCCAATAGATTCCCAAGAGGCCCCAAGAGGCCCCCGAGAGGCCCCGAGAGGCCCCAGGACGGCCGATGACGTTCGACGTACGCCGTACGACGAGATCCTCGCGGTTTGGTTGAAACCCCTCAAGGAGCATCAGAAGAGGCAGTCGTCAGGTGGGCCCTGGAGAGTCCTTCCGTAGTCGATGTCGGTTGAACTGTTCCTCCTCCCCTCCTGCTCCCCCTTCTCCTCCTCCTCTTCCCCCTCCTCCTCCTCCTCCGCCTCCCCTCTCGCTCCCAGCGCCTTCTGCTCCTGCTGCTGCGCTTACTCGTTTGGACCCGGGGGGGGGTCTAGGGATCCGCTACAGGAGACGAAGACGACGACGACGACGACGACGATGACGACATTACGACGACGACGACGACGACGACGACGACGACGACGACGACGACGACGACGACGACGACGGCACGCCCCAACTGGCTCCCCAAGACGCCCCCAAACCCATGCTCCCAGAAGGCCTTCTGGGAACCAGATTCATACGACTTCCGCCCCCCTACACAACCATTTCCTCGAAGGCCTTTCGGAATGCAGATTGGCACGCGTGGACTGTGGTCCACTACTTCAGTGGAGCAGAGAATTCGTCAAGGCCTGGGGCCTGCTAGAACCTGAGCGCGCGCGCGAAGCGCGCGCGATGGTTCTAGTGTATATATATGTATATATATATATATATATATATATATATATGTGTGTGTCTGTGTGTGTGTGTCTGTGTGTGTGTGTGTGTGTGTCCCAAGGCGCGTTCATTGACGGCCGCGGTAGGTGGATTCGGAGGCTCCCGAGGCCAGGGATGTGCCCAGGGGAGCTCGTGCACCCGCAGGGGTGGGCTCCAACGAGATCCCCGGGGAAGGGGGGCAGCCCAGCAGCCCACACGCCTTGTCACCCCCCGGCAAGCGGGGGTCGGCGGAGCAATGTCCTCCACCTCCCCCTCAATTCCTCCTCCTCCTCCTCCTCCTCCATTCCCCCCCTCCTGGAGTCTGACAGGTGCACTGAGCACACTCCGTGTCAGCCTAGCGTGAGACGACGCGACGCCTTCCGCCTCCCCCCTCGTTCATCCCCCTTCCTAACCCCTTCCTTCTCTTCGATCTCCACATCTCCTCGTCCATTCCCCCACTCCCCCTCCGTCCACCCGACACCCCTGTCCGCCTCCCCCACTTCCTCCTCCCCCATCGCCCCCCTTGCCCTCGCCCCTCTCACACGGAGGGAGAGATCGACACAAACATACAAAGACGCTGATTTCCATCATAGCATTTGAAATACGGGCACTGGGGGGAATCATATATAGTACAGTCACTCCACAGATTGAGGATGAACAACTTCCCAAGGCTGTCCCTGCATACTTTGCCTTCGGCTCATTCGTTGCCGCCCCCACGCCCCGCACGCAGAGTGTCGACAAGGCCTTCCTAGCGCGTCCTTACAATATGTGTCGACCGTGCCGAAAATGTATGGACACCTGTGGGGAGTCCTAGACGGCGTGCCGATTTTTGCTGTGCCTCCCTGGGCCCCCTGATCCTCCTCCACCTCGCCCCCTCCCCCTCCCCCTCTCCTCGCCCCCCCTCCCCTCGCCCCCCCCCTTGCCCCCTCCGCCCCCCATCCCCCCCCCCCCCCCCCTTTCGCACTCGCCCCCTCCCCACCTCCTCCTCTTCCCTTCCCCCCTCGCGCCCCCGTCCCCTTTCTCCCCCTTGCCCCCCCTCCTCCTCCCCCCCCCCCCTCCCCCCCTATCCTCCTCCCCCCGCGCGTTCCCCCTCGTCGCCCTCGCCCCTTCCCCCCCTCGCGAGGGCGGGGGCAGTGGCTGGCGAGGGGCGGGCGGCGCCGCGGCAGGTGCCCGCGGCGCCCCTCGCCCGCGCCGGCGGCGGCGGCGGCCACGCTGCGGCGGCGGGCCACGGCCTTTGCTCCATCCCGGGAGGGGCTGCGCGCCGGGCTCCGCGCTCCCCCACGGGGGGGGGGGGCGCTGCTCCCCCCTCCTCTCCTTCCTCCTCCTCCTGCTCCCTCTCCTCCTTCTCCCTCCTTCTCCCTCCTCCCTCTCCACCTCCTCCTCTCTCTCCTCCTCCCTCTCCTCCTCTTCCTCGTCCTCCTCCTACTCCTCCTCCTCCTCATCCTCCTTCTCCTCCTCTTCCTCCTCTTCCTTCTCCTCCTCCTTCTCCTGCTCCCTCTCCTTCCTCTTCTTCCTACAGCCCTAGGAGACGAACGTCTGTGGTGTCCACACGTGCACGAGAGACGCAGCCGAATCTCGCCCGCAAGAACCTGGCAACACTGCACTCGCCCGAAGGATCGAGTAGCACATGAAACAAGAACCCTAGACGGGAAACGCAACCCCAACATACATGGGGGCGCAAGCAGCCATGACGAGAAGCGCAACCCAACGGACGACGTGGGGCGCAAGGAATGGCGTATGAGGGCACAATAATGGAACGGCGGCTAAGCGCCACTCACTGGTAGGCGATCTCAGGACTCCTGGCGGCCATGTGGCAGTACATCTTGTCGAAGGCTGTCTCGTCGCTGAATAAAGGCAGGAAGAAAGCGGCCACCCCAGGCTGCCCTTCTCGAGCAGCAAGGTCGTACAACAGCTGGAACACCTGGTCGTTAGCAACTGGGTCCAAATGTTGATATTCGAAGGCGGCCGTTTGGAACGCCATGCCGAGAGACTTTTTCGTATGGGAGCCGATAGGCTCAAGACACGATGCCTTGACACGAATGGCCTCCGCACCAGTCTTGAAAGCCCAGCGGTCAGCAGCGTCGTCGTAGAAGCTCAGGGTGCCTTCGCGACCATTTAGCAGCGGCCTAGCCTTGAGGCCAACAAGGCGCGCGGCCATGCCTGGAGCGAATGTGTGCTTCTCGCTGTGCTGCTGAGGAGCAGTGGCCTTTCCGTGCCGCTGGGGCCTCACCACATCAATATCAGTCTCTGCCTTTGCACAGGGTTTGCTCTCCATCGCCACAGAGCCCGAACCAGTCGCGCCACCTGCAACAGACAGTTGCTCGCTGGGCGACTCCCCCTTCTCGTGCGCCAGGACTGGCCCGATGGACTCGGCGTACGTCTGGCGCTCGGAGCCCTCCTCCACCGCAGAACGCATGGCCGGCGGCGTACCAGAGAAGCCCTCGAAGAAAACCGGAAAGGGCTTCACGACAAGACGGATGTGGGACTCGCCTTTGGAGTTCTTGTGCCCGTGGTCCACGATGATAGCGTTGTCGATGTCCAGCAGCACCATGTGGAGCAAATTTATCATGAGGCTGTTCCGCATAGTCGGCTCCCAGACGGGGAACTGGCAGATCTGCATGATCAGCTTGTCGCTGTGGCTGCACAGTTTGACAACGCCTTGGCGGTCATTCGCTAGCTCCTGGATGATCCAATGGAGCCTGGCTGCTGAGACCATGGCGGCGCGGGGGGCAAGGGGGGAAACAGCGGCTCGCAAGTGCAAGAGAATAGCCCCTCCTCAGGCAGACGCCTGAGCCACGGGGGCACGCTCCCTCTCCTCCTCCTGCTCCCTCTCCTCCTCCTCCTCCTCCTCCTCGCTACTCCTTTCTCCTCCTGTCTCCTTCTCCTCCTCCATCTCCTCCTCCTCCTCCTCCTCCTCCTCCTCCTCCTCCTCCTCCTCCTCCTCCTCCTCTTCTCTCTCCTCCTTCCTCCTCCCTACTCCTTTCTCCTCTTGTCTCCTCCTTCATCCTCCTTCCCCCATCCTCCCCTTTCTCTTCAACCCCAATCCGCCTCCTCCTCCTGCCTCCATGCGAGTTGAGGTGCGCCCCAAGCAGTGGGTGTACCCAGGTGGCAGCTCCCCGGCTCATTCATGACTCGCAGACCTCGCAAGTTTGGTCAGTGGCTTTCTCCTCCATCCTCCCTCCCTGCCCCCTCCATGTCACAGTGAGCGGACTTCAATCTTCGGGATTGTAGATTCGGTAGGCCAACAACTCGTCTGGCAGTGTTGGCTTAGGCCATTGGGCCAACAAACTACGCCTGGCGGGCGTAGCAGAACATGAAGAAGGTTACAGAGTCATGGTGAAATAATACATGCCCTTAGGGGCGCAGAGTATACGCTAGCCAGGCAGTGCTGGAAGAGGAGGGAGTACGCGTACAAAGGAAAAAACGAGTTGCATGCCAAGATGCGTCGTCACTGTTTGCCTGTAGCCCTCAGGAGGACAACAGGGGTAGGCCGGGCAGCTGCGAGAAGTGGTTGACGCTGAATGCGTGTGTGTGTATATGTAAGCATAGCTGTGTAATGTTCGCCGTGGAGGGTAATCCGCGGAGTCCATGCTGGCTGGTCCTTCCCCACCTCCACCGTTGACCCTCACTACTAAGCCAATCTCCTTCGTGGTATATGAAGCAACGCGATTTGTAGGTTGACCTTTGTCTTGACTCATGCAAGTAAGCTTGTAGGCTGGCCATGTAGTCGATGGGGCACAAGATCATAGATTACGTAAGCGGAAACGTTCTGCAGGTGCTTGGTGGGGGGCATTACCCTAGCATTAGGGGGCCCGATCACGCTCATGGAATTTGCGCGAGGAGGCGTCAAGAGAAAGGTAGCAGCGACGCGCTTGGGCGAGAAAGTACCACCCCCTCCAAGACGCTCCCTCCCTTTATCCTCAGCCACCATCTTCTCCAATCCAACGCCCTCATCGGGAAAGTGCGGCGGCTTGATAACAAGATGGCCTCACTGAGGCAGTGTTCCTGCAGGCTATGCCGCGGTAAACTCCCTCAGCATCCTTTTTTCCCCAGCCCGTCCCACAATAGAGGAGGAGAAAGTGGGAGGCGGAGGGAAGCAGATGCTCATCGGATCTCTCCAAAGAAGCAAGAGTAGCAGAGGCTGTGCCGAGTGCCGAATGGCAGACGAGTGCGCAGACAGTGACGCGCCCTGAAACTGAGCATGGACGAGGGAGGCGTCAAGAAAAAGATAGCAGATGCGGCGCTCGGGCGAGCAAGGATAGATAACCTGCATGCAACGTCTCCTCCCCCTCCTTGGCCAACACGCGTGCCGGAACAGAGACAGCGCAGAGAGTTCAGGCATGCTAAGCGAAGCGTCTAGAAAACAATTCGCGCGGGTGCAATGTCGGCCGAGCTCCCGAAGCAGATGCGCGGTGTCACCTTGGGCAACGCGGCTCGCGCTATCCTCTAGGCCGTGCCTCCTGCAAGCGCTGGAAGAGCACAGGCGCCAGTCCCTCGGATATGTTTTCAAATGCCTTCTGACTGCACCGAACTTGCATCGTCGCACAACATATGGAATCAGGTATGTACATGTCACCGCAATGTATGCCAGAAGCGGAAGTCAAGTATAGATGGTCACAGAGACATGTTCTCCAAACAGGTTTGCCCTATAGGAGTCCTAGCTGAAACCCTGCTAATTGGTCTGTTGCCCCCCCTCGTCCTTATGCCCCCCCCTATTTCCTATGGTTATGCCTATGCCTATGCTTCCCCTAACTCCTATGCCTACGCCTATGCATATGCCTGCTTGCGTGCTTGCTTGCGTGCTTGCACGCTTGCACGCTTGCTTGCGCGCTTGCGCGCTTGCTTGTACGCTTGCTTGCTTGCTGAGTGGCGGATTCCAAGCATGCTTGATTATCATGATTCCTTGATTTGAGTCGTCTAAGCTATTTGGGGTGAACGCTGGCTGATATTTATGAATCCGGCTTTTGGTTATCCAAGAAGCGAAGTACGATGTCCACACGATCATTTGGTTGAGCGATCTTCGTCCTGAAAGTTTCATCGAGGTACTCGTCGTTGTCGTCGCCGGGGGAGGCGTGGGTTGCGTCGCCGTGTTCGGAACCATCTCCTGTGCTGGCCATCCTTGGGTCAACGCGCACTTCATGTTCTCCAACCTTCGTGTCCACGCATGCATCCAACTGGGGTATGACATCTGACACGATATGAGACTGACCAGTAGTATCACCGTTCTCAAAGTTATCGATGGTGTGACTTCTACTTGAATGTGTGCGGCCACCTCACGTGCCATGCTGTACCCGTTGCCATTGCTCCGATCGCCTTCGCCGAGGTAAACGCCGCGCACAGCAGAACAGAAACCATTACAACAAAAACCTTCAGTTGCCGTCCCCAGCGGGTCTGGTATCGCTGGGTGCATTTATCGTGTCAGTCCAGATGTTGCTGCAACAAACGTCACATCCGCAGGTAACCTTCCAGCTGTTGCTTGCCCCAGCGGGGCTGAAGATGCTGGATGTGCGGGTCGAGATGATGTCGCCAACAAGTTGGTGCCTACTGCAACCCATGCCACAACCGAGCATGAGCTTACGTCAGTCGCACTCTCCAGCGGGGCTGCTGCCGCTGTGTTCAGGAACAACTCAACCCGAACGTTGTTGCAAAAGTGCGGGCGGCCATGCTTGCAAAGTACGTTGGTTGGTACAACGTATCCAGAAACAAGGGGAGAGCGTATCGCAAGCGCTTCGTGCCAGGCTTTTGACAAGCACTCCGCCTGTCGCCAAGGGAATCACGTTCGATCTCAGCAGTATTGCGAAGGCCTGACGGCCGGTGCCGCCGACCCTGTTCGCAATGCGCAGCAAGAGATTACGAGGTTGCTCAAGGTCGGCTTGGCTGGAGCCCAGGGGAAGAGGAGTCCCAGGGGGGGGCGTCGTATCTGACCCGGGGGGGGGGTCGACCCCCCCCCCCCCTCCCGGCGGGGGAGGGATCAAAGGGAAGGGGCTTCCCTTCGACTCAATTACGAGGTTGCTCAAGGTCGGCTTGGCTGGAGCCCAGGGGAAGAGGAGTCCCAGGGGGGGGCGTCGTATCTGACCCGGGGGGGGGGTCGACACCCCCCCCCCCTCCCGGCGGGGGAGGGATCAAAGGGAAGGGGCTTCCCTTCGATCAATTACGAGGTTGCTTCAAGGTCGGCTTGGCTGGGCGGCAGGGGAAGGGATCCCAGGGGGGGGCGTCGTTTGACCGGTGGGGGGTCG